TTAAGAAATGTTTTTCTGTTTAACTTTTTAACTTTTAAAAATACATAAGCAAAATATTTTTTTAGCTGGCCATGGTGGCACACACCTGTAGTCCCAGCTACTCAGGAGGCTGAGGCGGGAGGATCGTTTGAGTCCAGGAGTTCAAGTACGGCCTGGGCAACATAGCAAGAGCCCTATCTCTTAAAAAATAATTTTAAAAGTTTTTTTAATTAAAAATTAATGAAAGAGGCCTCTGGGCCTGGCCTCTTCCAGACTTCACACCAGGCCGGCCTCTTCCCTTTGCTGAGTTTACCTCGTATCCTCTCACTGGAATAAATTACAGCCACATGTACTCTATGTTGAGTCCTCCTAGTTAATCACCAAACTGGGGGTGGTCTTGGGAACCCCCAACCCAGTTACTTAAAAATAAAGGCAGCCTTAGGCAATACAACCGGAAATCTAGTGCCTAAATGAAATCCTGTTTTTCTCTATATTGTTCAGGCTGTACCTGAAATCCCACAATCAGTGCTCAGTGTCACTAAACTACAGCTGAAGGAGCCAAGAATGTTTTGCCTAAACAGAAACTTACGGAGACAGGGAGGAATTTTCTTCAAAAGCTGAATAAAAATGTAAGCATCCACCTCACACAACAGCAAGTTTCTTCTGCCTAGAACTACTGAAGCAGAAGCTGGATGGTTATCTTCCAAGAATGACAAAGAAAGATTCCAATCTGGGAGGGCAGGGTGCATGATCTCTCTGAGACCACTTCCATCTTTAAGATTTATGATCTGGGCCAGGGGCAGTGGCGCACACCTGTAATCCCAGCACTTTGGGAGGCCGAGGTGGGAGGATCACGAGGTCAAGAGATCCAGACCATCCTGGCCAACACGGTGAGACCCTGTCTCTACTAAAAAATACAAAAAGTAGCCGGGCATGGTGGCGGGCGCCTGTAGTCCCCAGCTACTCGGGAGGCTGACGCAGGAGAATCGCTTGAACCCGGGAGGTGGATGTTGCAGTGAGCCGAGATCACGCCACTGCACTCCAGCCTGGCGAAAGGGCAAGACTCCATCTCAAAAAAAAAAAAAGATTTATGACTCTAGCCAGGGGCAGTGGCTCATGCCTGTAATACCAACACTATGGGAGGCCGAGGCAGGCAGATCACTTGAGGCCAGGAATTAGACTAGCCTGGCCAACATGGCGAAACTCCTTCTCAACGAAAAATAGAAAAATTAGCTGGGTGTGGTGGTGCATGCCTGTAATCCCAGCTACTTGGGAGGCTGAGGCAGGAGAATCGCTTGAACCCCAGAAGCGGAGGTTGCAGTGAGTCAAGATCGTGCCTGACTTCAAGGCACATAAGCAAGATACAAACAAATGAAACAGGCTGGGCGCAATGGCTCATACCTGTAACCCTAAAACTTTGGGAAGCCAAGGACGAAGATGGCTTGAGTCCAGGAGTTCAAGACCAGCCTGGGCAACAGGGCAAGACACTGTCTCTACAAAAAAAATTTAAATTAAAAAAAGAAACAGGCTGGGTGTGGTGGCTCACACCTATAATCCCAGACTTTGGGAGGCTGAGGAGGGCAGATCACGAGGTCAGGAGATAGCGACCATCCTGACTAACAGGGTGAAACCCCATCTCTACTAAAAATACAAAAAAAAATTAGCCGGGCGAGGTGGCGGGCGCCTGCAGTCCCAGCTACACGGGAGGCTGAGGCAGGAGAATGGCGTGAACCCGGGAGGCGGAGCTTGCAGTGAGCCAAGATGGCGCCGCGCCACGGCACTCCAGCCAGGGCGACAGAGCGAGACTCTGTCTCCAAAAAAAGAGAAAGAAACAATTAGAAAATATTGAAATACCAAGACATTACAATATGCAATACACAGTGTACAAGAGTTTGGTGAAGGGAAAAATTAGAAGTTGGGAAAAAACTTGATTGAAAACGTGGCATTTTCCCCGGGTGTGATGGCTCACATTATAATCCCAGCATTTTGGGAGGCCAAGGCAGGTGGATCGCTTGAGCTCAAGAGTTCAAGACCAGCCTGGGGAAATGGTGAAACCCCATCTCAAAAACAAAAAAAAAAGATTAGCCAGGCATGGTGGTGAGCGCCTGTAGTCCCAGCTACTCAGGGGGCTGAGGTGGGAGGATTGTTTGAGCCCAGAAGGTGGAGATTGCAGAGATGTTTCCTGAGAGATCGTGCCACTGCACTCCAGCCTGGGCAACAGAAAGATACCCTGTTTCAAAAAAAGAAAAAAAAAAGTGGCATTTTATCTTGACACAAAGAGAAAGGCAAACTTCAGACAGGTGGAAAAGAGCAAAAGAGCACATAAAAGATAACATGCAAAATCTCAAAGACAGAAACGAGTACAGCACTAATGAAAGCCAGTGAAAAAACAGCCTCGTCAGAAGGTGTGATTTCTTTTTTTTTTTGAGACGGAGTCTTGCTCTGTCGCCCAGGCTGGAGTGCAGTGGCCGGATCTCGGCTCACTGCAAACTCCGCCTCCCGGGTTTACGCCATTCTCCTGCCTCAGCCTCCCGAGTAGCTGGGACTACAGGCGCCCGCCACCTCGCCTGGCTAGTTTTTTTGTATTTTTTAGTAGAGACGGGGTTTCACCGTGTTAGCCAGGATGGTCTCGATCTCCTGACCTCGTGATCCGCCCGTCTCGGCCTCCCAAAGTGCTGGGATTACAGGCTTGAGCCACCGCGTCCGGCCAGAAGGTGTGATTTCTAAACAGTTAGAAATAAGCCAGCTGGAGAGGTAAAATGGGACTGAGTCGGAGCAGGCTTTGAAATTAGTAGAATAGTTTGGCTCTTACGTGATAGGAAACAGTGAGCCATTTCAGAGTCCTGGCAAGCAAAAGATGCAAAAAAGAACGTAAGAAGAATCCAGGGGTGGGCACGGTCTCCTTCAATCCATCCCAGCACTTTGTTCTGCTTACCTCCACAGGCAGCTCAACTGACGTGTTAAAGGCACTTGGGGTCCACTGCTCAGATATACTGACTTTGACATTGCTAAATGTTTTTCGTGAAGCATGGAGCAACGAATAACTACAAAATAGAGAGAATACAGATGAATGAATAGCAAGGAGAAACAGCATTCAATAAAATCACAGGTATAAGCCCATTTCTTTTATTCAATTGTGTTTTGTTTTATTTGGGGGGCAGCCACTTGAACCAAAATAGACTCAGAGAGGCTCTCTCAATTTTATTTATTTTTAGTTTTTGAGACAGGATCTCCCTCTGTCACTCAAGCTGGAGTGCAGTTATGATCATAGCTCACTGGGCTTGACCTCCCGCGCTCAAGCGAACCTCCCACCCCAGCCTGAGTAGCTGGGATTACAGGCGCACCCACTCCAGCGAGTCTTGCTATGTTGCCCAGGATGGTCTCAAACTCTGGGGCTCAAGTGATCCTCCACCACTTGGCCTCCCAAATTGCTGGGATTACAGGCATGACACTGAACAATTTTAGAATTCTTCTCTTTTTTTTTTTTCCTGAGACGGAGTCTCGCTCTGTTGCCCAGGCTGGAGTGCAGTGGTGTAATCTCAGCTCACTGCAAACTCCGCCTCCCAGATTCAAGCCAATTCTCCTGCCTTAGCCTCCCAAGTAGCTAGAATTACAGGTGCAGGCCACCACGCCCAGCTGATTTTTGTATTTTTAGGAGAGATGGGGTTTCACCATGTTGGCCAGGTTAGTCTCGAACTCCTGACCTCAGGTGATCCACCCGCCTCAGCCTCCCAAAGTGCTGGGATTACAGGTGTGAGTCGCCATGCCTGGCCAAGAGTTCTTCTCTTTAAAAAAAAAAAAAAAAAAAAAGATGAGCCAAGCCTGGCAGCTCACGCCTATAACCCCAGCACTTTGGGAGGCTGAGGTAGGAGGACTGCTTGAGCCCAGGAGTTCAAGACCAGCCTGGGGAACATAAGAAGACCTCGACTCTACAAATAATAATAAAAAAATAAGAAGAAGCCAGGCGTGGTGGTTCGTGCTTGTGGTCCCAGCTACTCAAGAGGCTGAGGCAGGTAGATCATTTGATCCCGGGAGTCAGAGGCTGCAGTGAACTGTGATCACACTGCTGCACTTCAGCCTGGGTGACAGGGTGAGATCCCATCTCAAATAAATAAATAAATAATCATTATTTCTGGTGTCTTTCATAAAGATTAATAATCAAATCTACTCAGCAGAAATATCAAAAAAAGCTGAGTAACAAGGTCACTTATAGCACGCCTCTAACACCCAATGGCCTGATGTATGTTATGTTTCTAAGAGAACCGCTTACGATCACCTTTGTTCTCCAGCTCCTGGTTTTAACAAATAGAGGACTTCTCTCTCCAAACAGGGTGATGAAAAGAAGTGAGATATGTTGGCCGGGCGTGGTGGCTCATGCCCATAATCCCAGCACTTTGGGAGGCCAAGGCGGGCAGATCACGAAGTCAGGAGATCGAGACCATCCTGGCTAACAGTGAAACTGTTTCTATTTAGTAGCCAGGCACAGTGGCACGTGCCTGTAATCCCAGCTACTCGGGAGGCTGAGACAGGAGAATCACTTGAACCCAGGAGTTGGAGGTTGCAGTGAGCCGAGGTCATGCCACTGCACTCCAGCCTGCGCAACAAAGCGATATTCCGTCTCAAAAAAAAAAAAAAAAGTACAAAATAAAAAAAAAAACACAAACAGACCAGGGCTTCTCCGCCTCCACATGATTGACATTTTGAGCCGAAATGTTCTTTGTTGTGGAGAGCTGTCCTGTGCATGGGAGGACGTTTAGTAACATCCCTGGTCTCCACCACTAACTACAAGTAGCATTCCTCCCCGCTCATGACAACCAAAACTATCTTAGACACTGCCAAATGTCCTCTGGAGGGCAAAATAGCCCTCGAGAACTACTATATTAGAGCTTTCAAGACTATAACAGAAGGAATAAGTAACATTGCAAGTGTATGCCCATCAGTGCATTTGACACTTGCCATGCATTAGCTCCCTCAAAAGGAAAAAAGAAAAAAAAGCAGGAGAGCAGCTTTAGCAACGTGCTTACCTGAAGAAGGTGAGCAGGAACACTACAACGTGATGATGGCTGAACCGGGACAGCAGAGACCCTCTTTGAAAAACACTTGGCCAGGCCATGTTCTTCCTGACCTTCCTTCTCACCTTTGACCTTAAAGTTTGGAGAGTGAGTGATTTACATCATTTCTTCTTTCTGGAAAGACAAAACGCATTATGGACATTATTAAACCTCGGCAGATTATCCAAAAACTGAATTATTTCGATTTATAGTTACTATATAATCAGGCCTTGTGGGAAAAAATCTCATGGCCTAGTTGACACCAGAAAACTGGATTAATAGTTATGTTAAAGCTATTAGGTAGTCTTTAAAAAAAAAAAAATCCTGGACAAGAGATTATATCTTAATAGAAAGAGCTCATACAAACTGATAAGAAAATCACTCATTCTTACAGAAAAAATGAGCAAAGGAAATAGACAACTCAGAAGAAATGAAATGGCTATTGAACTTAAGAAATAAAAGTTCAATCCTACTAGTAATATTAGAAATATAATTAAGGCAAGAAAACATTTGGATAGTTAAAAAAGATTGTGCTCAATGCAGCTCAGGGTATAACGGTTCCTGAACTCCCACACACTACTGACACAAGTAAAAATTAGTATAATATTATGGGAGGACAATCTAGCCATGTTCATCAAGAGTGTTTGACACAAAAATTCAATTTCTGGGCTGCTCTCTCGATGGAGTGCTGCCCTTTTCTTCCTTTACTTTTGAATAAACTTGCTTTCACTTAAAAAAAATGTATTTCCAGGGATCTATTCCTTAAAAACTACAAGACGTGTTTAGGCCTATAAAAAGTATTTTTCACAAAGTGCTGGAGGAGATTTTTAATATCAAAAGAAAGAAGGAGCTGGGCACAATGGCTCACACCTGTAGTCCCCCAGCTATTGGACAGGCTGAGACAAGAGGATCCCTTGAGTCCAGGAGTTCGAGGTTACAGTGAGCTATGATCACGCCACTGCAGTCGACCCTGGGCAACAAAGTGAGACCCCTGACTCTAAGCAAAACAAAACAAAATGATTCAAGACAATGTTCTACACGATCTTCTATTGCTTTGAGGTGAGGTCCCAGTGCAAGACTCTGGGCAAACTGCCTAACCCCTGTCTGCCCCCCAGTATCCCCTCAAAATGAAAAAAACTGTGTCAGTCAACGAAACAGAGAAAGAGGTCGGGCCACTCCTTGCCATCTCCTTCCACTACTTCCAGCAGCTTTTTTTTTTTTTTTTCTTTTTGAGACAGGGTCTCACTCTGTCGCCCAGGCTGGAGTACAGTAGCATGATCTTGACTCACTGCAACCTCTGCTTCCCAGGCTCAAGCCATTCTCCAGCCTCAGCCTCCCAAGTAGCTGGGACTACAAGCACGAGCCGCCATGCCTGGCTAATGTTTGTATTTTTTGTAAAAACATGGTTTCATCACGTTGCCCAGGCTGGTCTCGAACTCCTGAGCTCAAAGCGATCTGCCCACCTTGGCCTCCAAAAGTGCTGGGATTATAGGCATAAGCCACTGTGCCCAGCCCCAGTGCCTTTTCATTTGACTGTACTCTCTAAAAGCTGCACCCATTCTCTGATATCCAAGAACAATTAAGCATAAAGTAAGCAGCTAAACTTAATGTCTCCAGTTATGAGTCTGCAGAACCAATTTAAAGATACAATAATAGGGGAATAATTAAATAAATTATGGTATGTCTGAATGGCTGAATCATTTATAATCATTTGCCATGAAGACTTTTTAATGACATGAGAAAATGTCAAGTGAAAAAAAGTGGGAGCTGGTTATAAATCTAATCAACTCAACTGTATTTACATAGTACTTACAAATAAATAGGGAATATACCAGTTCTCTCTGGGGAGTGAAATAATGGATAATTTTAATTTTCTTGTATATACTTTTTTCTTAAAAAGCCTACAATAAACATCAATATAATTTTTATAACAGAAACACCCACAGCATTAGAAAAGTACTGTAATTTAGGCTGGACATGTTGGCTCACGCCTGTAATCCCCACACTTTAGTAGGCCAAGGCGGGAGGAACACTTAAGCCCAAGAGTTTGAGAACAGCCTGAGCAACATAGTGAGACCCCATCTCTACAAAAACTAAAAAAAAAGAAACAATAGCCAAGCATGGTGGCTCGTGTCTGTGGTCCCAGCTACTCAGTAGGCTAAGGCAGGAGAATCGCTTGAGCCCAGGGGTTCAAGGAGGCAGGGAGCTATGATCACACCATTACACTCCAGCCTGTACCACAGAGTGAGACCTTGCCTGCCCCCCGCCACAACAGAAAAAGTAATGTAATTTATCCTCATATTCAGGGGAAAAAATTACATAAAATGGCTTGTATGATAAATATACAACAGTGGTCAAGGTAGGGAACACATGCAAGAGCTCCCAATACTCAAGAGAGAATCACAGGGCTTGGCTCTCAGATCTATGTTCACTGGAACTGTTACACTACTTATTTTCACTAGCCACAGCTCAATAGATGCACCCAAACCTTAAAGGCTAAGAGACCCAGCAGAAAGGCCATTCTTGCAACTTGCAGATAAAAGAAACAAAGTTGAGGTGGTTACAATTATGTACACATAACAGTTGTTTTCCTTACTGGCTGTGAGCCCTGGGACAGGTCATGCTCTATAAATTACAAGTGGTCATCCATAAAATGGCTTATCTCATTTGAGAGCTGTAAGGCTAAAAGTAACAATGTATGTGACATATTCAGATAAATTATATTAGCCACTGATCTGCCAAGGATTAATTCCAAATCAGAAGAATTTAGCAAATTTCATTTTAAAGTCATTCTTCTTGGAAAATGTTAATAAAATTACGTGCAGAGTAGGACAATAAAATTCCACTCACAAAGTGTACATAAACTTCCTGTCTATAATTCCAGGAAGTTACAAAAACAAGAGCTATTAGTGTTATGACTAAATTTACTTCCATCCTGAAAATTAAACATGAAACCCAAGTGGAAAAACTCAAAACTTTAATCATTCTCTACGAATCATAGCTCTTTGAACTGGACACCTTCCCACCTCAAAACACTGTAGTATGTACTCCAGGAAAGGGCATGGGATATGAAACTCAATAATGTATCGTGTAAAATCATAATTCCAAAAATAAATGCTCCAACAGATTGAAATTACAGCACATTGGCAATAGAGCTGCATAATCTAGGGCTGTACACTTATATTAATAGCTTTAAATAACTACCAAGATATTTGAGGCCATTTGGATTTAGTTTCTAAATAGACGATCTTTTCCTAAGTTACAATGATTGGGGAGAAAAGGCTTAATATGCACATTGGGCAAACAGGCTTTATTTTATTCTTTTATTTATCTATTTTTTTCTGAGACAGAGTCTGGCTCTGTTGCCCAGGCTGGAATGCAGTGGCATGATCTCAGCTCACTGCAACCTCTGTCTCTCAGGTTCAAGAGATTCTCCTGCCTTAGCCTCCCAAGTAGCTGGAATTATAGGCGCCCGCCATCATGCCTAGCTAATTTTTGTGTTTTTAATAGAGACGGGGTTTCATCATGTTTGCCAGGTTGGTCTCAAACTCCTAACCTCAGATGATCCACCATCCTTGGCCTCCCAAATTGTTGGGATCACAGGCGTGAGCCTCCATGCCCGGCCTGATTGATTGATTGATTGATTGACTGAGACAAGGTTTCATTTTGTCACCCAGACCAGAGTGCAGTGGCACAACCTCAGCTCACTACAGCCTTAACCTCTCAGGCTCAAGCAATCCTTTGGGAATACAGGCGCACATGCCACCACATCCAGCTTATTTTTTGCATTTATGTTAAGTCAGGGTTTTGCCATGTTGTCCAGGCTGGTCTTGAATTCCTGGCCTCAAGCAATCCTTCCACCTCAGCCTTCCAAAGTGTTGAGACTACAGGCGTGAGCCACCTCGCCCAGGAAAATAGTTGTAAACATTCACCTGCTGTGTGCATAATGACATTTAAGATAAATACTGTAACATTTGATCCTATGCAATAATAATACCTTGCACATGTATCCTATCTATCACAGAAGTGATTTCCAATCATTCATGAGCTCAGGGACCCTGGGGTGTACAGGAGTTTGTGTCAAGTCAGAGTCCATCGAGCACGTCCTACTTTTTGAAGAATAATCTCTTTACCACTCTAAATACACACTGAACAAGAGTGTAACATGTTTCAAGTATGTGTAAATGCTGTTATGATTAATAAAACCAAATTTCAAAACCAAATTTCATTTTAGCATTTCTGAATTCATTGTAGCTTATCATTTAGTATTTTCTCAATCGGTGAATTTTTATTTCTTAAAGCCTACAGCACCGGTATTCTCAGGCAGTTTCCCAGCCAAGCACTAACCAGGCCCCACCATACTTAGCTTCCAAAGTCCGACAAGGCAGCCCATGTTCAGGGTGGTATGCAGGGATGGTTGCAGACTCTATTAACAAATACTGAATACACAATTATCAACTCATAGTTGACAGCAACAAGATTTTTAACATTATAGTATTTTTAATTGACAAATAAAATTGTATATATTTACCATGTACAACATGTTTTAAAATATGTGCTCACTGTGGAATGGCTCAGTCAAGCTAGTTAATATATCCATTACCTCACCTACTTATTTTTTGTGGTGAGAAAATTTAAAATCTACTCTTTTAGCAATTTTCAAAATAGAGTACATTGTTATTAACTATAGTCACCGGTCCGGCACAGTGGCTCACAGTGGCTCACAGGCCTGTACATCAGCACTTTGGGAGGTCAAGGCAAGTGGATTGCTGGAGTTCAGGGGTCTGAGACCAGCCTTGGCAACACAGCAACACCCTATTTCTACAAAAAATACAAAAATATTAGCTAGGTCGGGTGCAGTGACTCACATCTGTAATCCCAGCACCTTTGGAGGCCGAGGCGAGTGGATCACTTGAGGTCAGGAGTTCGAGACCAGCCTGGCCAACATGGCGAAACCCCTGTCTCTACTAAAAATACAAAATTAGCTGGGCATGGTGATGCACACCTGTAATCCCAGCTACTCAGGAGGTTGAGGCACGAGAATCACTTGAACCTAGAAGGTGGAGGCTGCAGTGAGCCAAAATCACGCCACTGCACTCCAGCCTGGGCAACAGACCGAGACTCCATCTAAATATATA